ATATTACGATTTCTGAATTGATGGGAGACTTATTTGAAATGACTCTACTGTTATAGTTCCCTGGAATTGGTTTAGTTGGAACAGTTGGTTTGTGATATTTTCACCATTATAGAGCTCTGTCCGTTACATTATCATATGTTCTTCTTTGCCTGCTTTGTACATTGGAGCGAAACATACTTGGGAGAAATCAATAGCCGTAATGCACATCCATTTTTTATGACATTAGTGCATTTTACAGAAATCATACAAATTTTAGTTGAAAAATTAGTGAAAAATGGCTTAATTTTCGAAGAACAGTATCTGGTGAAATTGAAGTGTGGTTCCATGTGTTGATAAATTCTCCAGCTCCAGGTTTACGTATGGGTGGAAGATCAGAATTCCCTCTAGCTTGTAATTGGTAGTTAGACAGTCCTTAGAAAGCAAGTATTGTGATTTCTTTTATTTTCTGCTGATATTTGGTAGTCAAGGGATCACTATTTTTGTCAAAATTCGAACATAGTAGGAATTTCGTACTGCATGTATCTTACTTCTATTCCAAATGGTTTACTTTTTGCCATTCTTGGCAGATCTTTTTGCAATATGCATTCCAAAGTTTTCACCAAATTTTCTTTATATTATGAGTTAGGGAACCAAAATTTATTTATTTTATGAGTTAATGAACCAGAATTTATTTATTTTATGAATTAATGAATTCCACATTTTCCTAAAGAGAAAAAAAAAAGAAGGAAAAAGAAGTCAAATAACTTTTAAGCCCCAAACTGATTGGAGAGGAGCTTTAGTGCAGAGTTCAACTTATGGGGTTGGTAAGCATTCTTGTTTCTTTGAGAACCAGTAATTTCACACTGCTATGCAGCTTTTTCCTCCCTCTATCTTTTCAGTTTTCAGTGACAGTGTTGTATGCTGAATTGAATTGCACATGTAAACCATTATCTGTTATATTTAGCCAGTATTCCATGCCTGTATAATTTGAATTTTGAAGCATACCCAGACCATTTGTTGGTTTTCAAGTCCTCAAGTAGGGAGTTCATCATTACTGGGAAGGTCAATTTCCTAACAAGGTGCCACTTTTACAGAAGCCTTTGTGCTCTTTCGCTCTCTCTCTCTCTCTCTCTCTCTCTCTCTTCTTCTTTCTTTCGTTTCGTTTCGTTTACGTTTACGTTTACGTTAACGTTAACGTAACGTAACGTACGTAACGTACGTACGTACGTACGTACGTAC